TTAAAATATCGGCATATCGGCCAAAATCCCAATATCGGGCATCCCTACTACTTATTCCTCCATATTTGTTGCTGTATTTTCTAATGTGTGTTTTATTTCCCTCTAAGATGTGCACAACTTCAATATTCTTGTTTGAACTTAATTAGTTTATTGCATAAATACGGTAATGAAAAGAAGTGAGCTGCAGTCAATGTGTTGAAAAACATTTTCAGGTTTAATTATCAGAATAAGTTGTTTTTTACTCTGCATGTGTTTCATGTTGCAGGTTGAAAATATAATTTTAGCAGTAAAGTTATAAAAACAGGGACTGGTCTTTAATTTCTAGGTCTCTGATATGATGTGGGGAGCTTAAACGTCCTGCTGCCCACTCAGACCCCTTAGGTTCTCTTCCTCCGGGTTCCCGTAGGGTTTAGTGGGAGTCCTGGGAATTTAATTCAGCTGTGTTGGAGCAGAGATGCATCTAAAACCTGCAGGACAGTAGATCTGGAGGACTAGAGGTGCAGACCCCTGATCCAGATGCTCCAGCTGTGTCAGATAGATTTAGTTGAAAGTGAAAACGTCCCTCAGCTCTCCTCTCCCAGAGATCATGGCTCCAGTTCACCAAGCTTTGGTTTTTTTCCATTTCCCGCTGGGATTAGCTAATATTCTGAGTGCTGCGGAGGATTACCCGCAGGCAGCTAATCTGCTCACAGCTTTCCATGGCCAGACATGCGGCTGTGCGGAGGTGGAGGTGTTCATCGCTCTGATGGGAAGCCTTAAAGGGACGCTTTCCAGCGGCTGGTTCCAGAGAACACGTGTTCTCCTGCTGCTCCTGGCATTAAATATGTTCCTGCTGCCAGATAAAAGCACGGAGCAAAGTTCAGGTTCAGCTCAGCCTGACCTTTATAGGCTTATCTGTTGCTATGGAAACACCCTGTCACACCTGCCACGGTGATGCAGGTGAGATTTGTGCTGATTCATACAGTGTTAGATTGCATCAGCAGCACCTGCAGGGATCCCGCTGACCCACATCTACATCTAGCTACTCTATATCTGTGCAGGTTAGCTGAGAGAAGACTGAAGATCAGCAGGGAAGCAGATATTCATGCTCTGTTGCTGCCTTATGTTGAAGCACATTAATAATGAGCTGTGAAGCCTCTGGTTACTGGGACTGGATACTGGGAGCTGAACGGCTCCACATGGCATCATGTTTTTATGCAACAGCAGCAACTGACCTAAAAAAAACTGCTTGTCTCTTAAATCTGTCAGGCTGACCTGGATGTAAACAGCGTTTATCTGAGCAACGATCTCTGCTTTTGTCTTTTGAAGGATTCTTACTGATCTTTAGAACCAACACAGAGATCCTCTAAGAGTCCAGTCGGGTTCAGACGAAGACAAGGAGATGTCAGAATGTGTCTCTCACCACGGTGACGGCGTCGTTCACCAGCGATTCTCCAAACACGATGATGAAGAGCATCTCGTTGACGTGGACCTCCTCAAAGACCGCCAGAACCGCCACCGGATCCACGGCCGAGATCAGAGCGCCGAACAGCAGGAAGTCCATCAACTCGGCCTGAACGCGTTCATCTGCAGCACAGAGTCAGCACAGGTGACTGGTTAACGCGTGATGACATCACAGCAGGTATAGACGAGGTATGTTGTGATTCTGGTGATGGTTCCTCCTAGACGTCTCTGAACGCAGAAACTAAAATATGTCATTTTGTGATTAAAATAAGTGGATTTTCTATTATGGAGGTGAGACGACTTGAAACTACAATAAAATGGTTAAAGTTTAAGATAA